CTTGTGAATCACTGATTTGCATAACTGTGGATGTGAGTATCTGTATCCTTGAGCAGTTTTTATTACCACTCCACCCTGGCTATGAAAATAATTTGGTAATTCTTCGGTACAGAACAGCACACATATGGTGCACAAACCACAAAGGCAGCATGAACCTCTCTCTCTCTAAATCACAAATATATATAACAAGGCCAACTTTTACTTCCTTTGCTTGCTCACACAAATAAATAAGCAGTGCAAATTCATATAGGTAATTATTTATGGACAAGGTTAAGTTCATTTGCATTTCTGACTATCTGATAGAAGTGAAGTCAAGTCCACACTACCTAAATTGCATGAAAAATAACACTATAATACTTACTTACGTAGTGTATCTATGAAAGCCAGATGCAAAAGATGCGTGCTCCATCTCTCAAACATAGTTCTAATGAAAAGAAAAAAAAAGCCTTAAAAAGTGTTTAGAAGCCTGGGAATACAGATAAATATCTAATGGGATTTTCAGAAGCATACTGGTTTCTTTCCATTACAGTCACACAAAGAAGATATTTCCTTCTAAAGACTTTGTGTATTTTCAGAAGATAACCTTTTGCATATTTGCCCTTAAATCTTTATTTATCCCTATGTAAATATGCAACACAGATCAATGTTCAAGAACAAAAATTAAGTTTCAGAGGGCACTTCTGAAACAGTTTTAAAATATGTCATTCAACACCTCTGAGAAATATTTAAAAAACAACTGGATCTGGCTAAAAATTAATAAAAATAAATTGCAATAATTATCCATAGGAATTGTTCTTGATAGTCATATGAATGAAGTTTTGCTATAGGAGAAAATAGGCATCATTGAGAGGGAGACCACTTCAGACATCTTCAGCATGGGGGGAAATTTATGTCTGTGCTCAGAGCCATCCAGGAGCCAAACACTACCAACAGTGTCTTTACTCTGCAAACACTTTACGAAGCACAGGAACCAAATATATTGCAGGTGAAATTCTCCACTGTGCAGGGGTCTTTCACAGGTCTCCGTATTACGTAAGTCCTACTTAAATACTATTCTAAAGTTGCACAAATCTACAGCACTGGCATGAAATTTCCCTTGGAAGAATTCCTTGAGCCCTTTGAAAAGGATGTACTTTGATAGCATCTATCACAGTCTCTTAAGCAATACATAAATCTTCTGCTGGCCTCTGCACTGAGGTATGTACACCTTGCAGAGTGTCTTTCTTGTTCTGAAGAAATGTCACAAAATCCTACAGTGCTTTACAGTTTGCACTTAACAGACTGAGCAGACATTACATACTGCCAAATTTCCAAACCACCAGTAAACACGTTAGTTTCTGAAATAATCAAGAGAGCAGAGGCATGAATATTTTACAGGCTAGCTACTCACAGCGTCTGGCCCTGGACTTGAAATCCTCATTCCGCTGAAACTGGTGAGAGTTGTTACTGACAATGGTGAGGCCAATATCTCACTCCATCTTTTCAACTGATAGTCACTTGTCATCACTAGCCCGTGCTCCAGCCCAATCTCTACCTCAGACTTCATTAGCTAGATTTCTCAGTGCCAGACTTTTCTAAAAAGTCTCTTCCATTCTTAGGAAAAAGCTCAAGACAATGAGAATTGCCTACCAAGCATGACTAGCTTGCTCACAAATTTGACACGATTCCTCAAAAGAAGTCAAGTGCCATGCACCCAAACTACTGCTGTTTCTTTACAACAGCGTTCAAACCATCCGCCTTGCAGGTTCCAGAATTCCTGATTACCTGGCCATGCGTACCCAAATAGAAACCTCATGGGAATGAGCTGCCTTGATCTCCTGCCGAAGACCAAATACTGCTAGGTATGACTTTCCAATAAGGTGATCCTGATCTGGGAGTGGATCTAAAAGGTCCAGTTCACAGCATCCAGACCCTCATTTTTTCTCAAACACTGTCTGAAAAGAAAATTTTAACAGTCGAAATATGGGACCCTTAGTTACAAACAATAATGCAGAGTAACTCACCTGTAACATTCTACTCTATGATTCTTTCTTTTTGAAAAGGTGAAAAACTATTTAAGGACAAAATGAAAGAGCTCTGTACTATAACTCTCAATGAATTTACAGTAGGTTTGCCCAAACCTGTAAATACAGGAAATATTTTTGGCTTTCATAGTCTCTACAGAGTGTTCTAAACAATCTGCTGTTAGCTCTCATGGGGTAAGTAAATTCTCTTGCTCCTACTCTTCACTTATACTCTGTCCTCTTCCCCTTCTTTCCTGGGGAAAAGCACACTTCTGTTCAGAAGGGAGGAAAAGGTATTTACCTTCCCAACAGTAATTGTTTCTTTCCTCTGAGATGCTAACATGGCACACAGGTTCTCTTTCTTGGCTTTAATGTTGCTGCCCTTACACTGAGGAATGGGCCACTTACTCTGAGTTCCTGATCCTTTCTTGTTGCAAAGCCCCAACAAATTCTGCTGGCTACCCTAATCGTAGAATCACAGAATCATAGAATGGCCTGGGTTGAGAAGGACCACAATGATCATCTAGTTTCAACCCCCCTGCTATGTGCAGGGTCGCCAACCACCAGACCAGGCTGCCCAGAGCAATCATCTCACTTTGTGAGAAAGGCTTCCTCACTATTCTTCTTCTGTACCTTTCCATTCTCTAGAACTGTTGTTCTGAAGAATAACTCAGAACAGATCTCTACGTCTGTCCTTAGAAACTACTGCATGACACCTTTTTTGGAATGATGACAATGACAATAATGTCATATTGTTTACTCCTAAATACAAATCCTAAATTAAGAGTCTACAAATAGGCTCTGACCGTGAACATACTACAGCTGTCCTGTAACAGATATGATTAACCTGCTTCCTAATCCCTAAAACTTAAAAAAGTGTTTTATTTTTAAAGCATTCAGAGAATTCTTTGCTGTAGTAAAAAGGCTGTTCTTACCAGCTTGGTAGTCATGTTCTTGTTCTTCACATTTTAACTTTGAGAATGACTATAAAAGTCACGGTAGATGTAGCTTTGTGTGCACATATTTAACAACAGGAGTAACTGGAAAACAGCTGGAAAAATCTTTGTAAAAGGGAAATTAACCCCAAAGATGAGCCACCAACCCAACTTCATATTGATTACATTCATGGAAAAAAAGAAAAAAGTATGTAGCAACTGAGCTCTGTTGAGTTTTCTGTTCAATAAGAAGACACGTGTGAAACACTGCAATTTTTTGTTTTAAGTAACTGAATTGTCCAATGACTGCAGATCTTTGGGCTTAACCGCACTGCCACTGAAACCAATCTTGTGGTTTGGCCCTTAATTAAAATGATTTTTAGATTGTGACAAAAAGAACCTGAACTTTGACAGCAGCTTTAAAGATACCTGTAGTCTACTAAGGGTCTCAAAGACACGACACACATTATGAAGCCCCCCCCCCCCAGGTCTATTCCCCTGAATAACCCGTTTTGACTCAACTGGAAGATTCCAGTGAGAAAGGTATAAGGAATGGCTGAGGAAAGGGGGTTCAGTCTGGAGAAGAGGTGGCTCAAGGATGACCTTATTGCTCTCTACAGCTCCCTGAAAGGAGGTTGTAGTGAGGTGGGGGTCAGTCTCTCTTTCCAGGCAACAGCGATAGGACGAGAGCTAATGGCTTTAATTTGTGCCAGGGGAGGTTCAGGCTGGATCTTAGGGAAAACAACTTCTCAGGAGTGGTGAGGCATCGGTACAGGCTGCCCAGGGAGGTGGAGGAGTCACCATCCCTGGAGGTGTTCAAGAACTGTGGAGGTGTGGTGCTGAGGGACGTGGTTAGCGGACATGGTGGGGATGTGTTGATGGTTGGACTACATGGTCTTAGTGGCCTTTTCCAGCCTTAATGATACTATGATTCTAAGTTCCTCAGGACCCCAATCTCCCTATCCAAAAGAAGCTCCACAACCTCTTTCAAGCCAAAACAAATTATATTGGATGCAGCTCCCTTTTAAAAGCTATTTTTCTTGGATAAACTCCCACGCAGCCTGAAGGGGCAGGAGGGCTGAGGGACAGGCTCTTGCAAGGTTTTATTTTTTTCCCCAAAACCTTCCCATTTTCTTCAGGTTGCCGGATAGTGGTACCCCACACGGCTCTGCCCACCGGCTGACAGCATTTAGGCCGCACCCGCCACTGGTCCCTCCGGCTCCGTCCAGTGACACCACCGGCCCGCTGGGCACCGGGCCCCGGCCCATCGAGTCGCCCCTCCGCCCGGCCCATCGCGCCGCGCGAGGGGAGCGCTGGCCCCGCTGGGGCAGAGCGGGCTGACCGAGCGCTCGGCCCCGCCGCCATGCAGCGCGCCGGCATTTCTGCGCTGTTCTGCCTGAATTTTGCGAAAGGCGCTGTGCCGGCAGCGGGGTGGGAAGACTCGGGGGAAGCGCGGCGCCCTGACGACCCCGCAGCCAATACGCCTTCCCCGAACCGCGGCGGTTTCAGGGACCCCCCGCTCGGAGGCCGGCGGGCGGGGACGGGGCAGGGACCGCCGGCGGCAGGATCCGAGCGGGCGACAGCCGCGCGGCGGCCGCTTCCTCGCCCCCGTTTCCAGCGAAAGGGGCGGGAGGGGGAGTTCAAAGGCACAAACAAGGAGCGCAGGACCAAATTCTTCCCCCTCCCTCTCCACTAACGGTCTCGGCGATAAATCCGGCTCGGCTACGCTTCGCGATGGGGACGTGCCGCCGCCGCCTTCCCCTCGCTGAGGCGGGAGCCGCGTTCCCCTCCCCGAGGAGACGGCGGCTGCCGCGCCCCCGGCGGGCGAGCGGACGCCGCTGAGGCGCCGTACCCCCGGCCAGCCCGCCGCCGCCGCCGCGGTACGGGGGGGACCGTGCCGCTGCGACAGGGGAGGACGGGGCTCGGCGCGGGGAGGAGGCGCTGCGAGCATGCGCCGGGCGAGCCGCTGACTGGGCGCTCCGTCAGGGTACCGAGGCAAAGGAAAAAGGAAAGAAAGAAAGAAAGAAAAAGGGATGAGGGGAAGGAGGATGAGCGACGGCGGAGGGAGGCGAGGAGGGTTTTAAAGGAGGCCGGCGGGATCCCGCGGGAAGGAGCGGCTGTGGCACGCGGGGCTCTCCGGCACCAACAGGTAGGAAGGAGGAAGGGCTGGAGCGGGGCTGCCGCAGCCGCGGGTGCGTGCGGGGAGCGCTCCGCGATGGCAGCGGACGAAGCGCGGGGCGCGCTGCCCGGCCCCGCCGCGGGGCTCCCGCAGGGCTCCGGCTGCGGCTGGCGGGCGGCGGCTGCGGGCGGCGCGGCGCGGCCCTGCATGGCCGTGGGCGGGGGTGCGCGGTGTGTGCGGTGCGTGCGGTGTCCGTGTGCGCGGAGGCAGGGCCGCGCGGCGGGGACAGCTCCGCGGAGGAGGGGAAGCGGCGGGGCCGGCGGGAGGGGGAGGGGGAGCCTGATTTCATGGTTTTAAAACGATGCCATGATCTGATCGGCGTCTGTTTACACGGCGGCGATCGGGCTCTTTCGCGGACGGTAAGAACGGAAGGATCTTGCCGGGAATTCAGCGGGAATGGGCTTTGCACGCCCGAGCTGGCGGAGCGGCGCTCGGTGCGGGCGGCGGGCAGCCCGGGGCTGCTGCTGGGCTCTGTCCCCGGCGCGGGGGGAGGAAAAAAACAACAGCGGCACAGCGGCAGGCAGAGCCCTTCCATTTATTTCGTTTTGCTGCATGAAATGTGCCCCGGTGCGCTCGCCGGGAGGATTAGCGGGCTTTGTGGAGCCCCGATCAGCGGGAAATAATAATAATAATAATAATAGTAAAAGATGCAGTCGATGTACGATATGTTTATTTAAGCATAGCCCAAAGCAGCCCTCCCCGAAGGATGGGCATTATGTCTTGGGTGTGATGCCTGTTTTGTCTCGGTATTTACATCGAGCGTTGCTTATTCCGAATGATGTCGAGGCTTTAAAGATTTGCATTAAAGCGGAGAGGGGGGGACCCTGAAGCACAGTGCCATCGGCTGCCTGGCGTACCTGTTTGTTTGGAAGCCGAAATGATGAAATTACGGTTTGCAGGATGAAGGGAGGGAGATAATGAATACCGTTTCTCTTAGAATGTGCATGAACTAACACGGTGTGATTAATGTGCTTTGGTGACTCGGGTTAAAAAACATAAATTCTGCAGGGTTTCTTTGGGTGTGATCCGTATCAACACAGCAGCCGCCTCTAAAACACTGACAAATACCGTAGCCGTAAAATAAACATAGGTAATGTCAAAATACCAGCAGCCGTTGGTGATTTTTTTAAGGATGTCAGTGATTAGCTCTTGGGCTCGCAAACTGGGAATCTTTCGATTCATAAAATCTCCGAGGCTTTGACTGTAGAATGACATACGCTACCAAAGCTAAGGGGCACTGGCCAGTTCTGAGACTGTAACCAGCCAGATCTGTGAAATGCCAGTGATCAAACATGCTGAACAGTATGTATGTATGCATGTATCTATGAAAGCCTCGTGATTTTTAAAAACAAACAATAGTACTCAAATTTACAACTTCATTTGCTTCTCCATAAATTACCATCTTTGTTAGCACTTTCTGACATCATTTCTTGTTAACTTAAGAACTGATAGCTCGATTTTTTTTCAGATATTTTGATGGCATGACAAATCAGAACGAAGAGGATGTACTGTATGACTAGACACCAGATCAGTTCTGTTTGTGGATTACATTTTCAGTAAGATGTATGGATCTATTTTTTCCTTCTTCTTATATATAGATCATGAGACTTGACTGAGGCAATATACATATCATCCATCCATCTATGGCGAACTACAGCCATGCAGCTGACAACATTTTACAAAATCTCTCTCCTTTAACAGCTTTTCTGAAACTGACTTCACTGGGTTTCATAATAGGAGTCAGTGTGGTGGGTAACCTTCTGATCTCCATTTTGCTAGTCAAAGATAAGACCTTGCATAGAGCTCCTTACTACTTCCTGTTGGATCTTTGCTGCTCAGATATCCTCAGATCTGCAATTTGTTTCCCATTTGTTTTCACCTCTGTAAAAAATGGCTCTACTTGGACGTACGGGACTCTTACTTGCAAAGTGATTGCCTTTTTGGGGGTTTTGTCCTGCTTTCACACCGCTTTCATGTTATTCTGCATAAGCGTCACCAGATACTTAGCTATTGCCCACCACCGTTTTTATACAAAGAGGCTGACCTTCTGGACTTGTTTGGCCGTGATCTGTATGGTGTGGACTCTCTCTGTAGCCATGGCTTTCCCCCCAGTTTTAGATGTGGGCACCTACTCGTTCATTAGGGAGGAAGACCAATGCACTTTCCAGCATCGTTCCTTCAGGGCTAATGATTCTTTGGGATTTATGCTTCTTCTTGCCCTCATCCTCCTAGCCACACAGCTTGTCTACCTCAAGCTGATATTTTTTGTTCACGATCGCAGGAAAATGAAGCCAGTCCAGTTTGTTGCAGCGGTGAGCCAGAACTGGACATTTCACGGTCCCGGAGCGAGTGGTCAAGCAGCTGCTAATTGGCTGGCTGGATTTGGAAGGGGTCCCACACCGCCAACCTTGTTGGGAATCAGGCAGAACGCCAACACCACGGGCAGGAGAAGGCTACTGGTTTTAGACGAGTTCAAAATGGAGAAGAGAATCAGCAGAATGTTCTACATCATGACATTCCTCTTTCTGACCTTGTGGGGTCCCTATTTGGTAGCCTGTTACTGGAGAGTTTTTGCAAGAGGGCCTGTAGTACCGGGGGGATTTCTAACGGCCGCTGTCTGGATGAGTTTTGCCCAAGCTGGAATCAATCCTTTTGTCTGCATTTTCTCCAACAGGGAGCTGAGGCGCTGTTTCAGCACAACCCTTCTTTACTGCAGAAAATCCAGGTTACCAAGGGAACCTTACTGTGTTATATGAGGGAGCATCTGTAAATCTTTAGCCTTGTGAAACACTACCATTCTCTGCTAAGCAATTGTGGCCTGTAGCCATGTCTTGAGAAGAAAATCAAGAATGGGATGTCAGCAGTTGTAAGGATTTGGGCAACATTCTGCAGTCTTTGCAATAGCTCACCTCTAATCCTATTTTAAACCTAAACATGTTCCTGCTGACCACTGCTGAAGGTTTGTAATTAAGAACAAAGGACTGAACTACTGCCCTGAATTTCTTTATGTGGTTGAAATCTAGATTATGAAAGTAGCAGGTGCTAAGTATCAGTGCTAAATGCTGTGTATATCACTACATAAAATAAGACCATCAGAAACATTAGCATTGGACATCTTAATAAATTAAGTTGATATGAGGTTAATGTGTTGATAAAACTAATTTTAGACATCTGAAGACCTTTAAAACATTTCATACAATTATTGTTTTGCAAAGACTGAAAACTGGGGACTCAAGTACTGTAACTGATTAAAGATGTGCCATGCATTATTGGATTATCACACTTACAAATCTGTTTGCCTTGTGAGTAAGTTTTGGGGAGCATTCCAAAGCAGTATTTTTGTTCTCATTTAGACTTCTTTTTTCTTTTCTTTTTCTTTTTTTTTTTTTTTTTTTTTTTTTTTTTTTTTTCTCTTCCGAATATATTACTCTTTCTAAATGCCATTTTCCTTAACAGTGAAATAATAACATTTAACTGTATTCTGTGGTTTTTGCTGACTTGGTATAAAGTTTAATAGACTCTTATTTATATTTTTTAAAAAGCTAGATATCAGTCTGTTAGGCAACGTTAATGATAATATCCAGTCATAATTGAACAGTTATAATTATACAGAATAAACACATGTTGCCTTAAAGGGTTATCTAGTATCTTCCATTTTGTTTAGCATTGAAGCAAATAAGCAAGGAAAATTGAATCAGTGACTCTGGTCAGTCATTTGGGAGTGCATGAACGATCACTTAGTCCTCTTTTTTCCTTTTTACTCCAATGGTTCCCAAAATCAGTATGCACATCACTGGGATGATACGATTTTTTTCTAGGTGTGCCGCCCTTTCTGGTTTGTTCTGAGAAACACAGGCAGTTGATGTATGTTTATATTTTAAGACAGCTGTCATGGGGAGACCGCAGCCTTAGTATGATATCTTGCACAATTTGTGAAGCATTTATTCTACTGAAGGCACAGTCTTGTTTATATTTTCTGCACATTTTGGTGTATTGGTTGTTTTAAATTATTTAAGTTTTAACTTGTGAAAGCATATAATATGATTTCTTAGTATTTTAGAAATACATTAGAGTCTGTGAGTCTTTCCTTCTTTAAGATACAGATGTGTGGATTTCAATATAAAGTTGCATTTGCCAAAATTTACCTGTGTAGCTTGTTAATTTTCTTGGAATAAAATTTTACATTTTTCCAGTTATACAATTAACCTTTTTTTATTTTGTCTAGTGAGCTAGCATGAAGTACTGAGAATGTAGCCATTATGAATTTATTATCCTTTGCAGTCACTGTATTCCCAAACTGTAAATGCATGAATGATGGGGACCACAGGATTGATAAATGATATTATCTACAGTAGCACTATTGTGTAGTTTATCATAATTACCCATCTATCTGTTTTAATATGTCAGTTATATTTAAAGTTACAACACAGTATTTGACATTAACTTCACAGTTTGATTTTGGAAAATGTGTATATTTGAAGCACAACATCACGAGTCAGTCGATCATAAAGAGCATTGATTTTTTTCTTAATTTCTGGAGCGACAAGACTAGAGGTCTTGATTCAGTATTGGTGTATGTTGTCCTTTGTTGTAGTTTTATGATCAGCAAGTTAATCTATACGTACCCAAGCAGCAGTCAATAATGGAAATGCTTAAATTTGTATGATAACAGTATACAACATATGCAACAATTCAGAGAGTTGTGTCTATATGTGATCAGACAACTTGATCAAAGATTTAGTGAGCAATCTGTTTGACCTCACTTACACTTTTATACTGAGGTTGATTGGTTGAGAGGCATGGCCTAATATACTGTGTTGAAACAGAAAAAAATGCTGAAATAATGAGTCCTCATCAGTACAAGAATGTTTCAGAACATAATTTGAAACGGGACCAATAAACTTCTACCAAAAGGACTTTTTTATTACGCTGGAAAAGGCTTTGAAATTAAGGTAGTTAAGCAATTGTCAAAGATGGAAAGAGTGCATAAAAGCTGAATCGTGTGTTGAGAAAAATTCTGAAAGTTATCCCACTTAAGTTTATTAAAAGGTTGATTGGCAATAACTTCAGTCTAATTTCTATAAAATAGTAACCTTTACAAGGAACATTGATATTACATATTGTAATAAAGAAGTACATATAAATAAAGTTGTAAATAGTGTTATAGTTGTAGAAGTAGTCGGTTCTGAAAATTAGCCAGAAAATGATGACATTTCAAGAGCTGCATATTTGGGGCCTGACCTAACTCCTAATAAAGTCAGTTGGTGTTTTCCCATTAACTTCATTTGGAGCAGAAGCAGGCCCTGACGTTTCTATAGTACTATGCTTCTGAAATACTAAGAAGGCTGTGTTTACTATGCAGTGGGGAAAAAAAAAACATTAAAATTATTTCCCTGGAAGTTTTGCAAGCAGAAACTGATGTAAATTAAAATAATAAACGGTAAACAAGTCTGAAAGCAAATATTTTGCTAAATGTTTTTCTTTTGATATCAACGTAATCCCTTTGACTAACTGAAAGTTATGCAAGTGTGTTACTACTTGACAGAGAAGTGCTTTAAGTGGTTTTTTGTATTTTTCCAGTACAAGTGTTGTGTAAGATGTAATTCCTTTTATTCCCTCCAGTGTTAAAAGAACAAGGGAATGTGCAGAGAAGTTAAGTGACAACATATGAAGTAACATTTTGTACAGAGTTATTACTCACTGGAACTCACTGGCAAAGGATGTTGAGTAGTTGAGGGGTTCCTAAAGAATTGCACATATACGTGAACCAAAGCAGTAGTTGCAGATATTGACATGGCTGTCATTTTGATCCTAGTTGCCACATCAGGCCTCATGCATCAGGGTATAAATTCAGAGGAGCAAGAAGGCTTTCTTCCAGTTCAGTACATGCTTGCATCACAGTATGAAAAGCCTTCTGCTTTCATTTTAGTACGGATGTGACATTGGTGCCAAAGCTTACTGGGCTGGTAGATTACTCTTCTACTTCAGAATAGCAAAGAATATCATGCTGGCTTATGTCTGCACTGATATTGAATGCTCATGGGTAATGAGAAGCTAGTGGCAGAAAAAAGGTGTAAGAACAGATTCTGTCCAGAAAAAAATATCTTCCTCTGATTTTTTCCCCAATCTATTCGTGCTGCTGGCCCTTTGGCAGCCTCCATCACTTCTTCCAGGTGAGATATTTTATATATTGAGTCCTGTATTTATCCTGCCCCAGTGCTCTTTATGTATCTCAGCCATTTCTCCTCCAGAACAGACAGACGAGCTGTACTGACTTCCGGTGGTTGCCCAAAGTTTGTCAGTGTCCGGGTTGCCTTCCTGAATACAGAGAGACCACTGGTTCCTTCCAGCTGCCTTCATAGCTGCAGCTGTCATGCCAGGGTGCTTGTCTTGCACACCGGGTATCTCTGGCTTTCGGCTTTGATAATGAAGAAGATGCTGTCTGTGTTATGCAAAGAAAAAATCAGGATGAGGAGCAGGCAACAGGAAGCAGTTTCCTCTCTTCCAACCCCTTCGTAACGAAAGCACAGTTGTTGCTGCATAAACTCTCTAAATAAATCAAACGTACAGTCAGAAAATTAATGCAAGGTTGTCGGTACAGCCATAGAAGATTATTACACAATGGTTTTCAGCCATTCTCCAGGCCTCGGGGGCAGAGGAGTCCTCTGCATCTATCTCCTTATAAATGCACTGAGTTTTTTCGCTTGTATTGTCTTTGCTCTGCCTTTCAAGCGTGAAAACATTTTACTTACATGAGCACAGTGTCACTGCAAGCTGCTATTACCCCTGTGTTTAATAAATAACGTCAAAGGGAAGCCTGATGTTTTTTGAGGTAGATTAGAGAGGTACTTGGACTAACATTTGTTTTTTAGCAAATGTTAAATAGAACTGTGGGTTGCCAGGCTCTTCCATAGTTACACAGTCAGATGTCAATTGTTGACAATAGAAATGGTGTAGACTAACTTGCGTAAAGCTAAATCATAGATAATGCAAGGCATACGCACTCTAGACTGCAAGAATTTCCTGTGTTTGTTACGTTTTTTGAGGAATGAAGTTAAGCTGAAGTAAAAAGCCGAAGTAGAAACTCAAAGGAAAATGGTGGGTGTTTTTCCTTTTTTTCTGCTTTGTTTTAGCATAGCTGTGCTAATCTGCAACCTGGGTTACACACCCACAGACAGCCAGGAGTTGACTGCACAGTTCTGCATACCACATAGACAGCTTCCTTCCAGCTTATATTCATTGAGAGCTGTGTAAGTGCACGCTACTGATCTGGTTGACTTCTCAGAAAAAAGAAAGGGCTCACTCTAAGATACTGTTCTTCAAAAGTAAATTTCAGATGTTCTCTCCTTTTGTTTACTGAAGTGATTCTGAGTATGAAGAAACCAGTGATCTACATTGGTAATCAACTTAAGCATGCTGTGGCTGTGTCCATTAGCACCAGGACAAGATGGCATTTTGTGATGCATAGGGCAGCAAGGGATCAAAAAGTTTGATATTACATACCATGACTTTCCTTGAGTGGCCTGAAAATAGCTCATGGTTTATATTTAGAAGAAAAAAAAATATGATGAAACTGTCCATTTCAATGGATAGAGTCTTTAACTCGACAGTATGGGAAAAAACTCAAATTTTAAAAATTGCTCATTATAAACAGCAAAGAGTTTTTGTGTGTTTATGTTAAATGTGCAATTACATAAGTATATAGTGATCAAAGGAGTGCCACAGTAAATAAACTACATTTGTAATAGTCTAAAGAGGAAATAAGTAACAACAATCTTCTGCCATTTAAATAAAAATAAATGTATTCAGTATTCAGTGATTTTGTGTACCTGGTGCACTTAGAGCAATGCCTTTAGACAGTGGCTTGACTGATGCAATCCAGAGAGACTTACTCTTTACATCACAGTCTTTGTACTGTACTTTATAATGAACACAAGTTTTCAAAACAGAATTCGTCTGATATAATCTTCAACAAATTGCATTAGCTACAATAAATATTAGGCAAATTACTGTCTCCAGAGATTATTCAAAATCATCTCTGTGCTAATTCAGGAAGAGTCTACTTCACCTTTGTTAAAGAGCCATCTAGCCAAAGATGCATATTTTTTTGTCATCCTGTCATTTCTTGGTTAAGACAAGTTATTCTGCAATGTGGAATTAAAAATCCCAAGTATGAAATGATATGTTTGAATTTCAATTAGTATGCCACTTACTAAGTTGCTGTAGTGACATTTTAAACAAACCTATGAAGCTTATGTTTAAAAATGTGAGCAATCATTTAGGAAAACAAACAAACAAAGTCCAGTCTCACGCTGCCAGTTGAATATTTCTCATATTTTCCTGGAATATTAGAGTTTCAT